ATCACTGCTGAAAGTAGTCATGTGGAAACTTGTCCAAGTCATTGGTGAGAAAAAGCATTAGCTTCCCTTCACCTGTTGATTTAATATGTCACATGAGGAATCACAGGAGAAGACAAAACTTTAGTTGACACCTTCAAGTTAAAAGTACAGGATGGGGACTACTATTTCAGTGGCAGTTCATGCCCAGGCATGGCCACTGCTTTGAGTAAAGATTAGTTGTGTTGCATCAAATTCTGTGCCCCCTGGTCAGAGCAACCATAAATAAATTAAAGGAACTGTTCACAGAAGTGGATTTCTTGAACTGTGTATGGGTTCCTCCTATAGATCTCTTAAAATATACACAGAACCAGTTCTTTAGGGAACTCCACTAAGCTGTGAAATGCCTTAAAAGTCTGTTACAAGTGAAATACTTATTTTGTGCTCTGCTTATAGATAATAAAAATGTGTGATGAGAAAACATCAAATAGATATTTTAATACATAAATACAAGGATAATATTCGAACATAATATTTTAAATTTAAGATTCATTTAGCAATCAATCTTCATCTTATACTGAGATAAAATATAAGATGTTTAAATGTTTGACCATAAGCTGATTTCTGGCTAGCTGTTACCACTGCTCTGGAGCATGATGTACTTAACATTGTATGCACTTGAGGAATGAATTACATATCTATCCTGTCACCAAGTTCCTGTATTAACTGTAATTCCCATCTGTATAAAGTTCACTCTTGTCCAGATTGTACATTGTTAGCAAAATGCATTATTTATTATTCAATCATTATCCTGTTAAATAAGACTGGATAGAAATATGTTGAAATAACACCACAAAACACTGTAGAGTATAAATTCAATTTTAAAAGTGTTACACTATGAAACATTAACCTTTATTCCCAGCTGTTAAAATCATTCTGAATTGAATTAGTATGAAGGCACTATAGTCCTTTACAGCAATAAATTTCTATAAGAGAAAAGCTTTTGGACAGTTTTTTGAAGTTTGCAATCAATAAAAAAGAAGTCCAAGGAGATTACTGTTTAACTACAAACAAGTGAAACAGTATTTTCAATTGAAATTGAGGCTAGATACACTTGCCATTATGATTAAAGTAAGTGCTGTATTCCCTTAAAGTTCTCTCAAACCACAATTTAGTAGCACAACCAATGCTACCCTAAACACTCAAAGTAAAAGTTTTATCCATGCAAGTCACAAATTTAGTGTGGCCCCCAAAATTCAGCCAAATAATCACCACACCACTAAAAAGATAGCATCCCATATCATCGTAGAGTATGCATAATCATAATTTAGTTAAATTGTAATATTTATAAACTAATGCCTTTAGAACAGCTTTGGCAGTGGGAGGAAGGTAGAAAAATGATGAATTTGATTTGGGAAATGCTGATAGGCTTGTTGGGCAATATGAGGTGGTATTCAAGTGACTTTTAAGATAATGGATTAAATTACTGACATATGTAAATATAGCCAGCAATCCTTTATACATAATCCCAACCTCAATTACCATACTTTTCTTTCCTCTTCCTATGTTATAAATACAAACCTTGAAGAATCAAAAGTAAACATCATGTCTTCTGTGTGTGTGTGTGGTATCTGTGTGTGTGTGTGTGTGTGTGTGTTGCTGGGGATCAAAGTCAGGGCTTTGCATACGCTGGGCAAGCATTCTTCCAGTGAACTACACCTTATAACCCCTTCAATCATGTCTCTATTTGTTCATTTTCAAAATAGATTCTTATATAAAAGAAATGTGTAGTTCATATGATTTTGCACACATATTTAAAGAATTTAAAGAACACAGATGTCTGTTCTGGAACACTGACTAGAGTAAGCAACAAAAACTCACCCATCAAATGAAGATGTACATTTTTACCCTGAACTGGATATTATAGCTATTAATGTAGTATAAAGTAAGATAATTCCGATTGTTTTTATTCTTCTTTAAAGCATTGTGTTTCAAATGGGAATGTTTCTTTTCATTTCCAGGACAGTGCAGCAAACATAGTGACCAATGTAAAATGAATTGTTATTAACACCTGTAAGCCATTGCCATAAAAGTATGAACATTATTCTGTAATACGAGCTATGTGAGAGGCAGAGAGAGGAGAATCACAAAGTGAAGCCCAGGCAAAAAGTAAGCAAGACCCTATGCCATAAAGCAAGCCAGGCAGAGAGGTGCATGTTGTTATCCCAGCTATATGGGAGGCAGAGGTAGGAGGATTGCAGTCCAAGGTAAGCCCCAGGCAAAGCATGAGATCCTCTCTGAAAAAAAAAAAAACCTAAAAACAAAAGGACTGGGGGTATGACTCAGTTGCTAGCGTACTTGCCAAGCAAGTGCAAGGCCCTGAGTTCAAACTCTAGTACAACCATCAAACATATAAAAAACAAAAAAAAATTATCTAAAAAGCTAGAATTGGTCTTGAGCAATACTCTCAATTCCAGCCCTTCTGTTAGGTAATTGCCATAGGAATTTGGCATTTACCTTTCCATATGGTTCACAAAGCCTTTAAACTCTATTTTTACACAAATGTTAACCATAGTGCTACACAATGTTTCCTAATGTTGATATATAAATGTTCATGTTCCTCCTATAAAGCATTAATTCTTTTGCATGAAGTCTGCATAAGTAATGCTGCAGTGAACAACTTCTTTATCTTCTTCCTTGTACACACAAGCAAATTTTTACTCAGGATTGATAATAAGGACAAATACAAATTGAAAATTAAATGTTTAAGTCCCCTTATTGAAAATAAAGGAAGAGACTTTCCCTATTCTCTTTTCTGAGAGTATTTACCTTAAAACTTTTGAGTTCTTTCTGTGTCTCTTTGAAACGTGTGCAAATCTTTTTTATGAGCTAGCTGAGCCTCTCACCAGCTTTCTCGAGGGCCTGGGAAACAACTTTTAAAACGTAATCATTAGGGAAACAGTGGCTCCATCTCACAGTTTCTGTGGAAACCAAACTTTGGTGGGCACCTTGTGCCAAATTACAAAATTACCTCATCATAAAGATATGAAAAGTTGATTTTTTCTTTAGATAAAAGCAATTAGTTAGCACAGATGATGTTCTCAATTACCAAGTGGATTTGGGATCAATAGTGGGTGACAAATCGTGCCAGGTCCCCTTGATGGAGGACTAGCTACTGCCTTTCTTGAGAATTGCTTTGGCATGTGTTAAACCTGCTTGGCTCTACAAGTGAAATTTCTTCTTGTCTTTGACATCTTTTATTGGATTGCCTATAATGTGTACCAAATTTTGGTTTAATATGTATTAAATAATAAAAACCTTGTTTATCTTCCATCTTTACAGAGGTTTTCTGGGCTGTGGAGGGATTTTTGTTTTCGATGATACTTCCCTAACAATAACAATTTCACTTGTTGGCAAGACATGGACAAAGATTATAAACGGAATGGCAGTTTTGAAAGGGAATTTGCTGGTATGTATTGAGATACATTTAATCTAATAGCACCTTATGAGTACCTACTTAACTGTATGCTCCAAGACATCAAGGATACAGCCAACTTACACATTTTTATGACTCTGAGAATACCTTGCTTTTATTTTTCTAATATTGCCTGCTTACTAATCTTTGACACCAAATTATGTCTTCTGTAAAAATTCTGGTTTTATATCCCTGGCCATGTTTATTGATGTTAGTTTTTTTTTATTTTTAAATCCTGCTTTTTAACCCTGACCCAGTTGAATAGGTTGCAAATATTGTCTTTTGTCTATTTCTTGTTATAACTTTGCTTATATAGTCTTACTATGTATGGTATTTTGAGGTAATCAAATGTATCTTTCGCTTTGTCAGCATTTGACAATGCAAAAAAATTTTCTTAACATCAAATGTTTTCCAACCATACAAAATTTTTTGTACTTTTATTTATTATTTTTACATTTAAGCTAATTCCATATTATATCATTTTGGGGAAAAGTGATATAGAGGAATTGACTTATTTTTTAAATGCTAACAGGTAGTAGCAACAATATTTGTAGGTTAGTTCAGCCTATCAAAAACCTTGTATCTCTTGTTTCCTTCTGTGGATGAAAACAAATTTATACATGTCCATTATTTAAAGTACTCGGAATTTTTTTTTTAAAAAAAAGGAAATAAGAAATAGTTTATCTTGAATCAATTCCAAGTGACTATGGCACAATTTTTAATAACAATGATTCACAAGTGAAAATGAAAATGCTAGATTTTGAGAATGGTCATGTTTTGAGTGATACCATGGATCTTAAGCTGAATTACAGTTCAGTATTCCTACTTAGTACAGGGGGCTGTCAGAATGAACATCAGATTTTTTTGTGAAAGCGTATTTGTGAGCTTCATCTTAGGAACCTAACTCAGCAAGTCTCAAGTGAGACTCAGGAAATTTCACTAAGCAACTCATGTGCCTCATATACATATCTCAAGAAACCAACCACACCTAGAAAATTCAGCTTGTGAAAGCAGTCACTTTCACAAACATTGGGTTACTGATCTATAAATAGAGGATTGGAAAATTTCATGATTAAGCAATTTCATGATGGCTGAGACTCATGCAAAGAGAAGATTCATATACTTTTAATTGGTGACTTTTTATATTTTTAAAGTGTCTGACCTAGTTTTGTGTTAAAATTTAAAAATATGCAATTGATTTTTAAAGTGAATAAGGAACCAACATATTCTCTTCTTTCTTTTAGCTATTTATGTAGCTTACCCAAAATTCAAATTTTATGTTAAAGTAATTAAAAAGAAAACTGTGGCAAGAATTTAGTTCTAATGTAAAATAAGTTACTCAGTTTTATTTTGAAACTGTAAAGAATGGTAACTATAATAAACTATCTCACACTGATATAAAGCATACTGAGTATTGATAAAAAAATCAGTTTTACTGTTCATCCTTAAAACTACCCTGTTCTCAAATATTGCAAAGATGAACAAAGAAAGTCCAATACTCTCCTTTGAAACCAATCCTAATTGAATTTAAACATTATGAACTTCCTGCAAAAATTAAAATCAGCATATATAAAAATAGAAAATTCCAAACAGACCTCTGTCTCTTCTTGTAGCTACTTAGGATAAACTTGTTATTTCCAACATTTGGGGTTTGAGAGCAACATTTCAAACATTCCGTATGAGCTGTGAAATATAAGAAAGGTTATAAAGTTGTACTTTGTGCATAGAGGAGAAAAAAAACTTAAGCGTATGACATTATGTCCTAGAAAGCCAAACTTTATTCATTTAAAAAAATAAAGGGCATATATTAATTAAAGTACTAATTAAACTCAGGTCTTCTAATTCCTTCACCTCAGAAAATATGATTCTGTGTAGTATACATGTCCAAAGAGGTCAAAGTATATTTTTACTTAAATAGATATAGTGTATAAATATACTTGTGATTTCTAGGCATGGCTCTTAGGTTTAATGAGGAGAGAGTGAAACATTTTATGGCCTGTGACAACTTGTATTCATTCCTAGAACATACCTGTCAGAGCAAATGCAGTTCTATGCTACTTTTTCTCCTGTTGGTAATAAATGCATGAGTCTCTTCCACCCAGCTCACATAATGTATGAAACAAATTTATTCATTGTCTCATTGTGCATTAGTTTTGGACTATGACACATTTCTTTGAAAGTAGTTAAGTTGTATCTTTCACATAATATAATTAAACCTCTTAAAAATCAAAAGTGAACAGACAAAGTTTTGTGAGATAGAAAAGTATCTTCCTAGAACTACATTAATTCAAAACACAGGTTTTGGCTAAAATATTTATTCTTTTCCTTTACTGTGTGAAAAATGGAAATACAAATGCTGTGGATGTGCTGTAAGTTTCTCAGGCATTATACTAAAAATGTCCAAAATCTTATATAAAACCAGACACAATCTAGTTTCTTCCACAATATTATAGAAGCTCAGATATAATTGTATGAGCTTTGAAAAAAATTTCTCTTCTTGAAAGCATTACCACTGCAGATTTGGAAAGATTAGTTCCAGTTAGAGAGCCTTGCAACAGTAGTATCAAAAAGGGCCACTGTTAGAAACCTAAACACACAGAAGAGAGGAAAGAAAGGACTAGGAAGAGAGAAGAAGCGTTCATCTATGTTGTTAGTATGTGGAAGCAAGCAGGTCCAGAGGGAGACCTTCAAAAGACAGGTGTGATGTGAGTACTTTTGGAGTAATTAGGAAAGGCATCTTCATGTGTTTAACAGCAGTGATCACATGACACATCAGGAAGGGCTGGAGAAATCAAAACATTAAGGAGAACAATTTTACATGAAGCACCAAAGTTTTGAATAGAAAAGGAACTGCTAATCAGGAACTTCAAAAGCTTTTGTGCTAACAAAGTCTTCTAAAAAACCTCCTTAAAAGTGAGGATGGAATGTGGGGTCAAAGACACAGATTAAAAATGCCAGCAACACCACAGGGGAGTTTTATTACTACCCCAGTGCTGACACTAAAAACTACAACTTGAAAGTCATATACAGAGATGCTTAAAAAGATGTAAACAATATCCTCCACAGGACAGCACAACAAAAGCCTATGGCATCTGTTAAGTTGCAGAGCCTTTAGCAGGGATACTTCTCCACTTGTTCCATCTTCAGATAAGCAGCGGGTCTGTGGAGCTGCACCGTGAGAGGTGCCTGTGGGAGATTCAGAGTGCAGTGTCACCTATGACCATTCTCAGGCATGTGCTCAGGACCCAGGCAGGCCCACTTCAAACACAGCCCCATCAGCAGCACTGGGATCTGCGCTCTCCCATGAAGGTCTCCTGATCCAGTTTAATTTTGTCCACATCGTTTTCTTCACTTGGAAAGTTTTGGTGGTTCGCAAGAATATTCTCCACTAGGAACCGGGTGGCTTCGTCTATGTTGATGTTATCCTGTAATGCCAAAGCAAAGAACAGATTGTTGGGGGGTGTTCTTGGAAGAAAGCATTAAGAGTGTGACAGGAAAGGAGGAAGATTTGTCAGCTAACATCTTCTCCAACACTGAAGTTTCTGTATGCCAAGAGTTCAACGCTATAAAGTAAGTGATACAGCTATGGAAAAACCTTCTCCTTTCTACCACAGACACCCTATTTGATCATCCAGGTTTAAACTTTGGCCACCGAGGTTCAATGAACTCTCTTGGTGGTTGAAATGAATCACCTTCCTCTGGGTTGCCACAAATATTCATAAAAGCACTCAGATGGGAACAACCTTGCTCTTGAATATATAATTGAATTATTGAGGCTACATTGTGAAGAAAACTGTGAAAAGGCTTAAACCAGTCAAAATATGTTCAATGCATCTCTCTTCCACCTGTGAGTACAAATTATTACTTTTAGTTCATGCATAAATTAGCCTGAAATGAGGTTGTGAGCGTGCTGCCCGTTACGGGTACCTTCAAGAATCATTAGCTATCACAGCATTTGTGTGACTGGTTGTAAATTGTCATAGAATACACAACAAGTAATATATAGCAAATACTTTGCTTATATTTTTAAAAGCATTTATCATTTTAAATTAATTTCAAATTTGTGAAAACATTGCAAAAATAGTAAAATTCTCTGTATACTACTTCACCCTCATTCCTCAAAGGTTAGCAGCTAAGATAACCACAGTAAAACTACTGAAATTAGGAAATTAGGTAATAGTATTGTGTCAATATTAATCTATCAACCTTATTTAAATTTTGTCATTTATCTCAAGTCTGTCTTTCTGATGCAATTTCATAAACTACTTTGTTGTCCTATCACCCTGGTATCCTTTATTATGAAACAGATCCTTGTTTTCTTTGCCTTCTATGACCTTGAGACTCTTGGAGAGCACTGGCCAGACAATAGCCCCAATCTGAGTCTATCTGACATTTTCTTGTGGTTAAATTCAAGTTTTGCATTGCTAGGAACAAGATAGAAGGCTGTGACCTTCTCAGAATATAGGAGACACATGGATTGAAGTGATGGCTGTCGGATTACTCCCTTAGAAAAGAGTTACTGGTTTTCCCTTTGTACTTAGTAAGTACAAATGTGAAGCACCCTGTTTCTCATCATACTTTTACTTACTAACTTTAGTACCTATTAGTTCTTCGCTAATACAATTAGTATAATGGCACTTCGTGGTGGCTTTTTATTTCCATCATTTCTTCTACATTGATCAGTTATAATTTGACTATTAGGAAAAGATTCTCTTTTCCATGAATTTAGCATTTGTTTTTACACATCATGGATTTTTACTTAATTCTATTATATTTTACTTACTATTATTAGTATTATTAAGTAAAATTATTAAATAATTACTATTATTATTTTAATAATTCTATTATTATTTTACTTAATTCTAAATATTCTATCAGATAGCAATAAAGGAAATTCAAATTAAAACCACACTAAGATTCCACCTCACCCCTGTTAGAATAGCCATCATTAGCAACACCACAAACAACAGGTGTTGGCAAGGATGCGGGGAAAAAGGAATCCTCTTACACTGTTGGTGGGAATGTAAACTAGTACAACCACTCTGGAAAAAAAATTGGCGGCTACTTAAAAAGCTAGACATTGATCTACCATTTGATACCACTCTTGGGGATATACCCAAAAGACTGTGACACAGTTTACTCCAGGGGCACCTGCACACCCATGTTTATTGCAGCACTATTCACAATAGCCAAGTTATGGAAACAGACAAGATGCCCCACTACTGACGAATGGATCAAGAAAATGTGGTATCTATACACAATGGAATTTTATGCAGCCATGAAGAAGAACGAAATGTTATCATTCGCTGGTAAATGGATGGAATTGGAGAACATCATTCTGAGTAAGGTTAGCCTGGCCCAAAATACCAAAAATTGTATGTTCTCCCTCATATTCGGACGTTAGATCAAGGGCAAACACAACAATAGGATTGGACTTTGATCACAAGATAAAAGCGAGAGCACACAAGGGAGATATGAGGATAGGTAAGACACCTAAAAAATTAGCTAGCATTTGTCGCCCTCAACACAGAGAAACTAAAGTAGATACCTTAAAAGCAACTTAAGCCAATAGAAGAAGGGGACCAGGAACTAGAGAAAAGGTTAGATCAAGAAGAATTAACCTAGAAGGTAGCACACATGCACAGGAAATTAATGTGAGTCAACTCCCTGTATAGATATCCTTATCTCAACTAGCAAAAACCCTTGTTCCTTCCTATTATTGCTTATACTCTCTCTTCAACAAAATTAGAGATAAGGGCAAAATAGTTTCTGCCAGGTATTGAGGGGGTGGGGGGGTGGATGGTAAGGGAGGGGGTCGGGGCAGCGGGGAGAAATGACCCAAGCATTGTACACACATATGAATAAAAAAATATTCTATCAGAATATTTACTTATTTTAAGCTCATTACAATAATTGTTTACTATGTTATTTCACTTGTCTTTGATTTTTGGAACTCCTATAACCAGGCTCCTATGTCTTGGTGACATACATCCATCATTTTTATGAATGGTGTCTTACTTAGTTTCTGGCACATCTTTATATCTCAGGCACATCTTTACCTTCTAGTTCCACCATCTACAGAATAAGTTATTTGTCCAGGAATCCTCATTCCTTTTACTGGAAAACTGTTTTTAAAAACAAAATTCTGAGGACTAAGTAAGTTCACTCAATTTTATGGTGTTATTGTTTTCAAGCCCTCTCAGTAGAAAGAGCTTGTAAATACATTTATAAATACATGCATACACACACACACACACACACACACACACACACACACACACACCTGTACACCTACTTCTCTGTTTATCTATCCTTAGAAATACATATTTGTATAGATGTATACATATGAAACCTTATGTTTATATTGATATCAGTATCTCCAATCAAATCTAACACTATGTGGTTCACTATAGCCTTCTCCCTTATTTGTATCCTCTTTCTCAGACATTGGGAAACAAAAGAGTTCTGCAATTTATTCAGATTTCTTTCTCAGCCTCAAGAGCTTTTATATGTTTGCTCCCAAGTATTAACCTTAATTTAAGTAGGGATGTTTGGATGTCCAAACTTCATTCAGTCCCCATCAGCCCCAATTGGATCAAAGATTGTAAAATTCTATATCTGTATTTTGTCACAACTGATTAGGAACAGAAATTCCTATGTTATTGTGAAAAGAAAGGATAAAGTCAAGAATTCAAATGTCTTTTGGTTTTGCTCTTATTCAAACTACTGGAATTCAAGTAAAAATCAGATGTGAGGGTAGCTGCTGGCTGGCTCAGAACTGACACTTAGGCGTTCTTTAAGCCTTGACTCAAAATTTTGAACTTAAAACTACGGTACTATTGTACCCTTAGAAGGTTCCTGGATTATTACACAGGAAGTTCTATAAAAGCTGTTTCACATGTATTTGTAGGGAAGCATAGAACATGCCTGCACTTTTACCCAACTTTTCCCTCTCACCTCTACATGGAATTTTGTCTATAAATATAATAGAGCTGATCACTTATATAGCCTCAAATGACAGGTCATGTGACATCATCATCTATGAATTTTACGTGTAGACTCTAGGAGAAAATTTGAATCTATTGCCTGAAAGAGTAATTCAAATAAATCCTAAAGTGAAATTTTAGCTGCAATATGCCAAATTACATGCTTACATAAATACATACAGTGTTAGTTGATGGGTTTTTGTTTGTTTGTTTTTGAATGAAGATAGGAAGTTAAGGTGAATTACCCAGCAGACTTACAGAGTAGGCAGAGGCATATCCCTGAAGCCTTCCCTTCTAAGACTTCCTCCTTTGTGCCAGGCTAAGTTCTCATGCAGCACCTCCAGAGTTCATCTTTCTTCCATTACAACTTCTTTTATTTATGAAACTAAGATGCTATCCTGTAGCTTAGTACTCCCTACTGCCCTCCAGGAGACATTCTTTTGCCCAGTGACTTCAAGATCACTCAACATTTTGAGACTGCCCCATAGAGTGGTCTCTTATCACTTGATTTCATCATTCTGATCACCATGGACATCAAATATTTTTCCAAAGATAAAGTAAGCTGGCATTGCCTACACTGAGGGAGGTGATTTGGAGGAGCAATGACACACATACACACACACACACATAAATATAAAAGAAATCTATACAACACATAAACAAGAACGGTGTTGAGAATATAGATATTTATGATTTGTTGTTTGTAGGATTTCTCAAATATGTCATCTTTTTTTAATATATCTGTTACTGAACTCTCGTATGTGAAACTTCCAGTGCACATGATCCTTTCAATATGTTGTACTTCTGATTTTCACCTTTGCTTTTTTTTGTATAACTAGGTGGTTAAGCTTTTCAAACTCCACCTTAGTTTTTTGTTTTCTTTACAAAACACTTTATTCAGCTTCCAGAGATGGAAGAAAAAATTTCCAACTCTTCATGAAGAAGCATGTCACAAATGTTGACACTTTCCACTTGTTGAAATCTTTCATACACAGTTAATCTAAAGCTTTTCAAATATCTTCTGCATACATCTTCTCTTGCTGACCATTCAATGTCTTTGCTTACCCTTAATTACACATATTTTTACCAGGAGCATCTCCCCATAGTTCTTTAAGTCTTTTGTAAAAGTAAAAAATGCTTGTCCTTGATGGTCCATACACCTTATCTCCCATTCACTCAAGTAACATGAGAAGGACCTCAGTTAAAAACTAAACTCACAGAAAATGCCACCTGACATTTGCTCTAAATAACAACTCATTTTTATTTCAATGAAAAATCTTCCCTTGTAATCACTTCCCATTAGTCAATTTTGAAAGCACTTCTGCTGCAGAATGAGGTAAGCTACAACATATTCATACTATGCTTTTCATTTTGGGGCTTAAAACTACCTCATTGGAATCCATCTAAATACTTCAGATTAACGCTCAGACTGACAAGAGATACAGAGGCAGATTCATCATCAAAAAGATCTCACCTTGGCAGAGGTTTCAAACCATCCAGTGAAGCCATGGTCTTTGCAGAATTGGTCCATCTGGAGAGAACTGTGGTTACTGTCCTTCTTCTGGTCACATTTATTAGCTAGGAGGACAGCAGGAATCGGGTTGCCATTGGGAAGATGAACTTTACTATCTAGATCACGTTTCCATTTTAAGACTGCCTCAAATGTGGAACCTCTTGATATATCAAAGACTACAAAAGCACCAACAGCTTCCTTGTAGTATACTCGGGTCATATTGCCAAACCGCTCCTGCCCTAGAAATAAATATAAAAAGAGATTAAACACTCATAATTCTGAGAGTCATATTTAGGTGTGACTCCAATGATTCTAAAAATAATATCATAAACAAACCTTTCCCATCCCACCGCAATAAAAGCTGGTGGGATTAAGAACATCCATACAGAACCATTATAAAATGGAGTGGCTGATGACCTGCTTGAATGCACAATGAAGTATTACACGTTCTGTGCATGGACAACACAGTCACCATAAACTTCAATATAACAGCACCAAAAGGTAAAAGTTGGCCTATCTTCCTCCTTTCTCCCTAGTCTAAGAGAAGAAAGGCAGACACTGGAGGAAAACAGAAAGCTGAAAGTGGAGGGAAAGACAAGAATAGAAGAAACTGAAACGTGCAGGAAGGAGATAAGTACAGTGGCAAAAAGCAAGTCAAAAAGATTGGGACTGGACAGGAGATAAAGCAGCTCATGTTCTCAATTCATTTTTCCTGCACATCTGTGGCCTCTACCCAATTGTCACTCAATATGCAAAACTGCTCTCCTCTAAGAAGCAGACACATGAAAATCTACACTTTTAGAACAAGAAGTGGCACAGCTGGTTGTGTGATTATAAGAAGGATCAATTGCAGAGTACTTCAAATATCATTGTCCTTTTAAAATAACTGAACTTCTATTAAACAGTTTGGCTAAATTCTGCTACTTCATATCATACTGTCTACGCAGACAGACAGGGTTACAGAGCATTCTCTTCCATCTGCTACTATAGTAATCTTTCACATAGGAAGGGTACGTATCTTTATCTGACAGAACAAAAGACACTCAGTCCAGACCACATTGACTAAGAAGACGGGACTAGAATCCAGGTCTTCTGATTCCATAAAGCCTACGGGATTAACATTCTGAGCTATCCCGCAGTTGCCATGACTTCTAAAGCTCACACCTTCAAGTTATCAAATTGCTGGCTAGACTGGGAAGGAAAAATGAATGCCAATCAAGACTTATAACTCTTCAAGTTATGAAGAGTTGATGAAGGTACTCTGATAGGACACTTTCTTATTAAAACATATAAGAAACAAGCTTTATCTACACCTCATTGATTTATTTTTTTTTGCACAAATACAAAGCCACCTGAAATTGCCAAATTCTTTTTCCTCCAAGCTGTACAATGGCATCATACAATTTTATGTATTGCTTTGGCTTTGTGACAGCTCCTCATATAGGTTTATGGGAAGCTGCATTATTACAGTCCAAAGGTCTGAATTTCATTATAAAAAATGGTCACATATCACGAACTATCATGTTCATATTTTATTGGTAAGATAAATCTGACCAGTCAACTATATCATTCATTTTGGTCATAATGCTGACATTTATAAAAAGTTAGCATTGTACCATTTTCTATAAACTTACATTTAACAATCACAGGGGCATTTTCATTCAGGATATTCCAACCGTTTAAAGGCAAGATCAGCATTCTTCAGAAAAGGCTATTCAGATGCAATAAAATTTTGCAGCCTTCAATTTCTGCTAAAGAACATATGTAAACCACTTACTTTGTTATAAATTTTAATTAGAAATTGAATACGAAGGGAGTATAACAGCAAGAGCAATTAAGATAGTCTAAGATTAACAGAGATGGAAAGATTAAGATTTCAGGGTTATTAAGAGTAATAAGAAAACATTCCTTTGGCCCATTCTTTGAATTTAGGGGAGAGGAGAGGGTGCCAAACTAGTAAAAGATATGCTATCCACATCTTAATGTCCATATGTGACAAAGAGCTATTAAACTTTTGTGGCTATTACTTTTTTAATGAATCACTTTAAATTTTAAGTAATTCTTTCTGTTAATCATAGGAAGTGATATTCAAAGATTTACTCATATAAGCTTTCTGATAAAGCATTAGAAAATCAGAAATGTCTATGACAAATTATTTTATAGGATACTGTGGCTTAAAAACGTCAAGCCAAGGCTAGGATTAAAAACTTCCTGGAAACCCTCATATCAGATACTGTGCCTCTCTAACAACCACTCTATATGTCAAATCAAACAAGTGTCAATTATGCAACTAAGCAAATGAGAAAGAAAGGAACTAACTGGGAGATAAAATGTAAACTACCTATTTGCTAAATATTTGTACCCAGAGTAAGTACAGAAAGAAGACTCCCAAATAAGAAGATAAAAACTCAATTAATAAAGTAATTAAAACATTACAACAGACACTACCAAAATACAGGCAATCCCTGCCATGCTGAATGTCTGGGTTGGTTCCTGATGGAGTCTTATGACAAGAGAGGGCTGGGTGGTAGAGAAAGTTTATCTTTATTTAATACAAGAATGGGCCGAATAACTTTTGTTTCATGTGGAGTTATGCATAGAGTTAAAGCTATCAGTGATACAGAAATTGATCAGAATCTGCAGGAGTACCTTTTTAATAGGTTTGTTGAACAAGTTTAGATTAGTACAGGGAGAACTCTAGGCAACAGCATTTTCTCTAAGCAGCAATGACATAGTCATTATTGGCCATAACTGATAGGCATACTGAATCATCTAGTCCAGCTCTCTTATGCTATAGATAAAAGAATAAGGTTCCAGAGAGATGAAATCACTCAAATCTCCTAGGAGCAATCATGCTCTCCTCTGTGGTCTGATCTGTGAGCCAGGTATTTGCTGGAATTGACAATTCTACATGTGTCCTGTGTTACCAAAGAGCTTCTTGGCAGTACCAGTAGCTAAGAGTGTCCTTAAGGACAGCAGAGTGCTTACTACAATGTCACACCTCCTTCGCTATGTCACCTCTTGCTTTCCCACAGTAGTTAAGGAAAGATCCTCTATTGCAGAGTGCATGAGTCGCCCTGATATTAGGGATAGTCTTTGTCATCCACATTGCTGTTGACATACTGACAGCACATTCCCAAACAGTCTCAAAATGTTTTGCCTCTTAAACAATGTGCTACTTCTTTTTCTAGAAGATTATCCTGATTATAACTTGACATCTTGGCAATCAGAAAGAAGATAAAGAACTCAGAAGATAATTAAAGGTTCATACAACCTCTTACATATGCAAAAGGATAAACCTTAAAGTACACATGCTGGCAAAGGATTAAAATGTTTATCTTTCTGGGGGCATGGCTCAAGTGGTAGAGCACCCATCTAGAAAGCAAGATGCCCTGAATTCAAATTCTAGCACTTCCAAAAAATGTTTATCTTACTATTTGGAGGTATCCAACATTAATGACATTGAGAAGGACTACAAGCAACAAAATTAGTATGTTTACAAGAATATTCCCATAAAGAAAATACACTTTAAAACTGGAGAAAATCTTTAAAATGAAAGAATTTCCCTTCACGTTTGAGAAGAAAAGTACTAAATTCTGCTGCTATCAGAAATACAAGGCAGAGAGTGAGGTTAGCCTGGCCCAAAAGACCAAAAATCGTATGTTCTCCCTCATATGTGGACATTAGATAAAGGGCAAACACAACAAGGGGATTGGACTTTGATCACACGATAAAGCAAGAGCACACTTGGGAGGTATGAGGATAGATCAGACACCCAAAAAACTAGATAGCATTTGTTGCCCTCAATGCAGAGAAACTAAAGCAGATACTTTAAAGCGACAGAGGACAATAGGAGAAGGGAACCAGGAACTAGAGAAAAGGTTAGTTCGAGAAGAATTAATTTAGAAGGTAACACACATGTACAGGAAAGCAATGAGAGTAAACTCCCTATCCTTATCACAACTAGCAAAAACCCTTGTTCCTTCCTATTATTGCTTATACTCTCTCTTCAACAAAAGTAGAGATAAGGGCAAAATAGTTTCTGCCTGCAAGCGAGGGGGTTGGGGGGAGAGAGAGGAGGATGGGGGAAGGGGGAGAAATGACCCAAACATTGTATGCACATATAAATGAAAGAAAAAAAAAAGAAATACAAGGCAGAGATAGTTTCTCTTGGGATTTTTGTGGCTGCTTCTGTTTTAATGTTTTTGTCTATAGTTTATATTCACTCACACTACCATCTGATAAGTAATCTAAATGTCTCTTTAATGTTAATCAGAATTCAAAATGTAAATTTCACAACTCAAACCAAGTCAAAGCACTAGGATGAAAGGATGTTTAGTTTTACAAAATTTGAATACTTATAATTTCCTTAGTCACTGAGAATTACCAAGCTACATGTTACTACTCAAGGTGATTTGGGGGAAATACATAGTTTCTAGTCAGTAAATGAAAAGTAATCCTTAAATTTCATGGTGCACTTCAGAAAGGAAATAGCTTCTAACAAGCTACTGATAATCATGGATTACAAGTCAGTTGTTATCTATGAAAATCAAAATAGCCTCATGATTTGTCCAGTTTCAAAATAGTCTCATGATTTGTCCAGTTTCAAAATAATTAACCGTTTAAGATATTGGGCTATTCTCTTTTGAAATACATATATTTGACAGGAGCAAAACATATCCTGTCTGTTCTATCAGGATATGCATCTCTAAACTCCTGTATCTCTAAACAAGATCAACAGAAAGCTCCTGAGACGAGACGGCCACACAGAGGATAAGGAGGACGTGATGCCATGTCTAGCAAGGGAACTGAAGGGACGTAGAGCGTATGAGTGTGAGGGAATAAGGGCAAGAAAGCAGGTCTTCTGATTCAGTGCAGAACGCCTGGGAGGCAGTGAGAAGATAGGTGTGTTGTCAGGGTGCGGCAAAGACAGAACAATGCTTCTCAACTTTAGAATAAATCAGAATAAACATGGTCCTTGATAGATGGCAATTTTCCAGGTTCTAGGAATCCTGATTTGGTAGATAAGAAGACTGCTAACTGCCAGTCCCAACTTTCTGTCATGGAATTTTATTTGGGGAGACTATGTGCACAGTTTAAAACAAAAGCCTTAGATTTCCTAGCTCCACTTGCAGGTAAATTAAGGTGTGCCTAACTTACTGGAGCACAGAAACAAAAAATATGGCCTAGGGATAGCTGAATGTTGAAAAATCAGCCTTTGTCCATGAAGACTTGATGG